ATTTTGATTGATTTAACACAAAAAAATGATTACAAACTCAATCATGAAAGGTAAAAGGACAATGCTATGTTTACCCTCCTTTATCACACACTCCGTTACACTCACTTATACTCACTTACTCTCTCAAACTCCGTTAGTTTTTGTTAAGCATGTAGCCCAACCCTTTCTTTCTCTTTCCTTTCCTTTCTCCTTACTGTTCACCATCCTGCTTGTTGATCAAAACCATCAGAATCCCTTTGGTTGATGAACTGGAAACATACAAAGAAATCACGAGAATCATTAACCTCTTGCACTTAGAAAACATTTCGATTCAAGTTGCAACCTTGATTGCGTACTGGGAATTGCATATTATGGGAGAAAAGAAGCGATTGAGAACATGCTTCGAGTTGGGTTCCTTCGATTGACCCAGCAGCAACCCAACAATTACTTTCCGTTAAGCACCCAGCCTAGCCCTTTCTTTCTCTCTCTCTCTCTCATTTCATATCTCCTTATTGTTCAGCATCCTCACCAGATCCATCTTCCTCCTCACCTCCATCCTCATCCTAATCATGTGCAGCCTCATCTTCCTCTTCAGCAACCTTGATTCCTTCAAACCTGCCTCCAACAGATCTGCTTTCGCCACCACCACCCTGCAGCGCCGTTTCCCCTGCTTCCTCCAAATTTGTTTCTAGATTTGATGCTTCCGCTAGATCTGCTTTAGGGTTTGATGCTTCTCTCTCCAGTGTTCTTCCTTAGATGCTCTACTGTCCAACGACCCACAAGAAATTGAAAAGCATTGTGGCAGCAATGGACCATTTGAGAAAACAAGGGAATGATCGGAGATGTTCGTGAATCAGTTGGAACTACAGAGATAGGAAAAGAGAGAGAGAAAGAAAGAGTTGGGCTGGGGGCATTTGAGAGTTGACAGGAAAATAACGGAGACTAAGTGGGTATAACGGAGTGTGTAATAAAGAGGGTAAACGTAGCATTGTCCTTCCAAGGTAAAAATGTACCTCATTGTCATAAAAAAAACTTTAAATTATTATATAGAATATTAAGAAAGAAAATAAAGAATGCAAAAAAAAAAATTGTGAATTTGAAGTTGATTAAATAGAGAATCAAAGTTTTCTTTTTGTGGCTAAATAAATAAAGAAATGTTTAAAAACCCTAATTTTTAATTAATTAAATTGTTATAAAGTTCATTTTATTTAAATCATATCCTTATTTTTTTAAAACTTTTTATTTAGGTCCTAAATATTATGTCTACATTTGAAGTGATCCGTGGGAGAAATTCATATTATAAAAACCAAAATTTTAACAAATAAAGTTAGAGTACCATATTTAATGTTTTTTAAAAGTTTAGGGGGTGGCTCCCTCGTCCTTCATTGCCTCTTGTTCGTGTCAGTGGCAGAGCCACATGGAGACCAAGGGGGCGGTGGCTCCCCTTGGGATTTGAAAAACAAATTATATATAATTAATTTATTAATTATTATTATTAAAATTATAAATATTATATTTTTAATTATTAAAATACGTAAAATAAGAAAAGATTCAATAATAATGGGCTATTTTAAGAACCCAAATATAATCTATGTAATTCATTATTTATTTTAATAATTTAATTATTTATTATTATTTAAAACACATACATCTCAAGACCCACAACTGAATTTTGTAGAAAAAGAAAAAAAAGAAAAAGAAAAACCAGTTCTTGTGTCTTCTATGTCATTTCTCTAGTATCTAGTCCCATTGTCCCAATGTCAATCTCCTTCTATTAATCAACTTCAACTCAACAACTTCAAAAAAAATAAGAAAAAGAGATTCCGCCGGCGGTTTGATGCAAGCCACTGCAACAATGCTCTCCTCATTGAAAACTTAAAGACAAATTAAGGGGCAACTAAAGGAACCACTAACTTCTTGGTAAAGACTAAAAACAACATTATTTTTCTTTTTATATGAATCATATATTGCCATATTGGGTTTCAACTTTTGAGTTTTGTAAGTTTATTTTATTTTATTTTAAAATTTTGTTTTATACTTGTTAGTAGATATGCTCTAACAAAAAAATTAGTATACTCTCTCTATCCTAGAATAATTGATATTTTTTATTTAGAATTTATCTCAGAATAAAAGTCTTTTTTTTTTTTATTTTGAGGAAGATAAATAGTTTTTTTTTTCTACTTTAACCCTATAATTATCTCTTAACTTTAATTATTTATTTTCTGATGGAAGTAGATATTTATTCTTAATTATTTTTTAAGTATAAAATACATAAAGATAAAAATTGTTTTCAAATCTTTCATTTGAAGATAAAACAAAAAAATGTATTATTCTAATATGGAGGGAGTAATATTTAAATAATATAACTTATTGATTTTTTATTATCACAATAAATTATATAATTTTCTTTTAGGATTTAGAGTTGTTGAGATTACAAATAAAATTGAATATTATGGTAATATTGAAGTTATATTGAAGTTATATGGAATATAATTGGATTGGAGTAAAAGAATTGAAAAAAAAAAGTACAAATCCATAAAGGGAACATATATGAATCCAATAAAAGGAAAAACCTTGGATATAGTTATACAGAGAAAAGCAATAGGAGCATAAATTAGTATTAAATGAAAATAAACTCGTATAAGGTATATTTAACTTGTAAAAAGGAAAAAAAATTTTGTTTGCTTGTAGAAAGTGGTATGGTGAAGAGATAAGATGTTGTCATATTTCTGAACTATGTTAATGGCTTGTGAAGACAAAAAATCACAAGTCTATAGTCTCATTTATAAGTTAATTATTTTGATGCTTACTCTTCCAGTTTTTACAACAATAACATAAAAAGTATTTTCTACCATGAAAATTGTGAAAATAAGATTATGCAGCAAAATAGAGGATGAATCTTTTTCAAACTCTTTAATTATTTATATTGAAAAGAAAATAGTTTAGTCATTTAGTTTATAAACAATATTATAAATATATTTTATGATATGAAAACTAATCAAGTATTATTTTAATATATGATATAAAAGTAAGTTTTTAAAATTACAATATATTATTTTAAGACTTGAAAAGCCGGCCCTCATGATTAAAATTCCTGGCTCCGTCCCTGGTCCCTGCTTTGTAAACCAATGGGACCAATTGGTATCTAAGCACTCAGTCGCCCCCCTCCGCCCCCGTCCTTCATTGTCTCCATCCCTGCTTTGTAAACCAATGGGACCAATTGGCATCTAAGCACTCAGCCGCCTCCCCTGCTTGTGTCCTTCATTGTCTTCGTCCCTGCTTTGTAAACCAATGGGAGCAATTGGTATCTAAGCACTTACGAGTTAGAGGGACTAAATTACAATTTTACCACTTTATTTAGACTTTTTGCCTTCTTTCAAGGATATGCCCGGTCATGTAAAGGAGTAAGAAAAAACTTATTTTTAGTTTTCTATCTTAATAAATTTATAGGTTTTTATCTTATACTATAACACTTTTAACCCTTCATTTATACGAATTGAAGAAAATAACCTTTATTTAATGTTAGATTATAATGTTCTGTAAGTACTGTCTGACTGTTAACTCTACTAGCTGATTGATAGCATTTCGTTATAAAAAATATGAAATTTAAATTTAATTTAATTTGTTAGTTTCATTAATGGAATACTAATAGTTAGCTAACAAGACTAACAAAACATTATAACATGATGTTAAATAATTAAGTAAAGGTTATTTTCTTTAATCCGTATAGATGAAGGGTTAAAAGTATCATAATATAAGGTGAGTGGCTAAAAGTATCATAATATAAGATAGGGGGTTAGAAGCTACAAACTTATTAAAGTAAAGAGCTAAAAATAGGTTTTTACCATAAAGGAGGAATAGTTTTCCATCTTATCATTATGTAATTTCGATACAAATGTTGAAATAAATTGTTGATTATTCTAAATCTAGGGTTTGTTGGTGTCGAATACACTTGTCATTGTATGATTTTTGATTGCTTTGTAATTGTTTGTTATGAATTTTGTGGTTTGCTAATTGAAATTGTGATTAAAGCCGGTGGAAGACCAACTCAACCTTGAGTTTCCTCCGTCTCAACTAGAAATTGAATCTGGGTAACTTTGACAAATTTTTTGATTTTATTTTGCATTTTTTCTAATTTCTTGTGAGTTTCCATGAACATTTAACAAATGCTTCAAAGAAGATGATTGTTGGCGACATTGGGCCAGCATCTGATGCTTTTTCTAGTTAGGTGAAATGTCACGGAAATTCTTTGCACATGTGACATTCTTCATGTACATGAAATTGAAAGCTTACCTAACAAACCTTAACAAGTGCTTCAAAGAAGATGATTGTTGGCGACATTGGGCCAGCATGTGATGCTTTTTCTAGTTAGGTGAAATGTCACGGAAATTCTTTGCAGATGTGACATTCTTCACATATATGAAATTGAAAGCCTACCTAACAAACCCAAAAGTCACCAAAGTGGAAGAAAATGAAGAAGCTTAGCGACACAAACTTTGGAAGTTTTTGCTTCTTACACAATCAACTATGAATGGTATAAGGATTAAGCATTTCCTCAGCTAATTTCAAATCGTAGGATATTGTTTTTTTAGTTGATGTGTAACGAAAAGTGAGAAGTCGCGATATACACCAATTATCTTCCAATTTATTTTTTCTTAAACAACTTGCTAAGGTGTTTGGAAATATCAATCTATAAATTGATTTTAAATTGTTAAATGTTGCCTTCATTCAACTTTAGTCGGTTTAGTTTGACATTTTGATATTTTAGACATTAAATTTAAATAAAATTTGACATAATATATAAATGAAAATTGAAATTTTATTTTAATAAAATGAAATTACTCAACAAAAACTACATAAATAAAAAAGAAAATTTTCAATTATAATTTACATATTTCCTCTGTCTCAAAACAACTGTAATTTTTTTGTACTTTGAATTTCTTTTAACTTAATTGACTTCTTTTCTAAAGTTTTTAAAATAAACAAATATTTTTTTTATTTTAACTCTAACGGTATCTATTCACTATTTCAATAAATTATCATATTACAAAATATCTATATTTATCTTTTATCTCTTTTGTAAAGATATTATTAATAAACAAATAAATTATCTTAAAATCCTTAATTTAAAAAAAAAATAAAAAAGTAACTGTTATTTTAGACAAAAAAAATAGTATATTAAATTTCTGATAAAATTTATCTTAAAAAAGTTAAAAGATTAAATTAAAATGAATAAAATTAAATAAAAAATTATTATTATATTATTAAATATTAACCACTAACGGTCCTTTCGATTAAACTAAAGAAACATGTCATAAGACCGCAATTTTAAACATTGTCTAGCTAGTCACCATGGTAACCATGGAACGGTTAATTGATCTTGACGTCCCACTTCCTCGCATTTTACTTT